AATATTATTCATTCGAGCGAGATGCCACAAAAATCGTAAAATGGGATACACTCACATCGAACCCGAAAGAAAATTCCAACGAACAAGAGTATAAGATAAACTTTGCTGTGTTCATCTTGTGAGTCAACAGATTATATAGATTAGTATATCTTAATATATAATTTCATATGCATATTAATGCTATAATCACAAAATATATAAGTAAACTGGAACGTTAAGTTTGAATAACAGGAAATACGCACGTGAGAAGAAAAGCGGATCTTTTTAGTATTTCAATAAACAAGATGGAATAATGTACGAACGTGAGGGAAGTTATGTAGGTTCACTTGTGATCAATGTGATCATACCTTCGCACTCCAGTATTATCGTGTGACGAGTTTCCTGTTCAACCTAAGAGGGTTTTTCGTCTTTGTCGTCTTTGTGGTCTAGAACGTCTCAAAATATAAGTCGCGGCAGAGAATGGCTGTTTTGATGCGCAAATTCCGAAGGGTTTTATACTCAGAATATTTGGTACTTGCGTTGTCTAAAATTTTCCTATCTCTTTGAGCACGATCAGCCAGGAGCGAAAATACCTTGTTTTAGTTGGCGGTGGTGTTGGCAAAACAAAAATACTAAAAATACAAAACAAAAAGACCTCTGCGGAGGAGCCTGCAATTTCCTTATGCCTGACTCTTCCACTGTTCCACAGTCCCGCAATTGCGGGTTGGAACAATAGGACGCAAAGGCCCATGGGAATACTCTAACTAAAATTTTGATGCATTTCCATCATTCAACACAGGACGAGCGACTGAGGGAGAGTCAGTCCTAGTGCGACGACATCAGTTCTATTGCCAGTTCTGTGCTGGTTGCACAAAGTACAAATTTATTACTAGAAGTTACTATCGCAAGGAAAGTGCTCCCTCACCCCCACGGGTCAAAGGCAGCATGCACAATTTGCTGTGATAGACTAGGAAGCATGTTTACAGTGTTGTTAACATCTGCAGGTACGTTAACAACATTACCTGTAATTTTGAGTTGCCCTCCTCTGGGCGCTTGGAAAATCTTTTGAAATGCTATAAATCGTGGAGCAACACGTCCTATTGTCAGTTCTGTGCTGGTTGCTCAAAGTACATTTTATTATTATTGCATACCATTTTACGTCATCAGCAATGGCTATCTGTAGGTTCGTGTGCTTTGTGCAATTAGCAGGATGACAGCTTTTGTTATCGGTTCATCCACGACTTCTGTTGTTCCAGTTAAAGGAAGATCAGTGCGTGACGCACATTCTATAGCGCAAATTTACATGTGGATAGTGATGAAATGCGCTTTACATCAAGAGTATTGTGCTTACTTACTTATAGCTTATGTTATCTTTACAACAATTGTGATATTACTTTCTTAGGGAGTGTTCATTATTTATACCCGGGGTTGGTACCGAAGAGAAATGGATTGGGTAAGCCATTTTTCTGGGGTATGAAGGGTTGGGTAAATATTTTTTGAACAAAGCCTATGGTTGGGTAAATTATTTTCAATACAAACCTTCAATTGAACAAAATATGAAAATCCTTTATTTAATAAAATGGGTCATTCCAGGAAATATCCATTCATTCCCCACAAAGAAAACTAAACTCCAACTCCCCATCCTCTCTGATTGCAACAACGAGATATGGTAGGACTGAAGGAACTTGGAGCCTTGGGAACATAGTATGAACTTGTGAAGGTACAAATGATTATATTTGACATTCAGTTAGTGCACCAAATATGCACAGTACTGTTTATACTATACTGGCCTAGCTTCTATAATAATATATATATATATATATGTATATATGTAAAATACTTGTATAATTTTGAAATTGGGTTGGGTAAAATAAAAATCCAAGTCATGCAATAGTTGGGTAGGGAAAACAATGGTTGATCGAAAGGGTGGGTGGTTGTTTTTTTCTCTTTTCGATTAGTTTCTCTTCGGTACCAACCCCGGGTATAAATAATGAACACTCCCTTAACTGTGTTTATCCTAACCCACCCTGTCAACTTTCCCTGTGGGAGGAAACCAAAGCACCCGGAGAAAATCCATGACTTTCGGCAGAGCGTTGACCGACTCTTTTCACCATGAGTCCGTAGCGAGAATCGAACTCACAATCTCGGAGGTGAAAGGCGTTCGCTGTGCCGGACTGCGCCACCGAACACTTTATCTATTTGCCTATATATATATATATACATTGGCATTTCAACACACTGGCATTTCAAGGGATGGGCTCCAGTCTTCTATAAAGCAAATTCCATCTTGGCAAGGATTCCAACTACGTCATTGATGTTCTGCAGAAAGATCTTTCAGTGGGTAACGAAGGGTGAGGACGTACCTTCGTTCCACAATGGGTCAAGAATTTCTCTTCTCTGTGTGGAACGAGCATACACTAATAGAATACGGCTTGAGAATTATATGGACAGAATAATTCAGGGGCGGATCCAGGATTTTTCGTACGTTAGTCAAAGTTTTCGGATGTACAATCTTGTTTGTGGGTGGCGAATGCGCGAAGCACCTAGGGGGGTCTGTTCCCCAGGAATTTTTATATTTTTAAACCTCCGAAACGCAATTTGCATCACTCTGAAAGCAGCTTCAACAAAAAATTAACTTCATGAAATGGGAGATAATTATAGCAACTATCAGTCTGACTCTCACAACTCGCTCCTTAGGGAAAAGTAAAGGAGAAGTACTTGCAGAAATGTGATAATTGTGGAAGATGATTCATTTTACCAAATTACGGGTTGCTATTATTATGTTTAACTAGCTCATGATAGTACTACACTCATTTTTGTTGCCTAATATATATATAGCCTTGTTGAGTCATTGATCACTTGTTTACATTTCCTGGAGCATCATGAAATCTTATGTTTAACCACGGTGGTTTAACCCATTAGCTGGCAATGCGCCCTTCCCTTGTCGAGCGCCAGAAGATTTTACTCGTCAGTGGTATAGGGTACTGTCAGTAAATGGGTTAACAAACCTATCTGCCAATGGCTCTTGTTAATTCATCAGCACAGTAATGACCCCTACTTTAGTATTTACGCTGTCCAACGCCAGACGATTTTTAATACTCAGTCAGTGGTAGGTTACTGTCAATAAATGGGTTAACAAGGATAACAATAATTAGCCTGCATGACAGGCGGTATTTCCCAGGCTTGCCCAATTTTAGGAACCGCCTGCCATGCAGGCTAAACAATAATAGGATGTTTCTCAAGGACTCGTTCAACACCCTAGGGTGACCCTGTAGTTTGTCTTTTGCTGTCAAAGGCAGCATTACTGCCCTGTGGGTAACCTAGTATATATATATATAGCCTTGTTGAGTCATTGATCACTTAGTAATCACTACAGTGTTATATTACTCAAATAAACATAAATAAAGTCTTAACATTCACCTATAAAACCTGACCTTTATATCCTATGTACACTGCATTAATGCATTTATATAGGTTATCCTCCATATTAACAGCCTTCTGAGTTCTGACGAACCTTCAACCGCAGAATTACTAATATGCAAATTTGTTGTGTAAATCAAAATTCATAGCTAAATCAAGATACGCGTATTCAAGTTACAATTTTACATATGCATGGAGCACATCGCTTATAGATATTGTTATGCTGTCTAAAACGAAATGAAATTTACATATCACATTAAGTTTACCTTATTGCACTTCAGAATAAAGATCTTCGCGCCAATACTTCTACTCAAACAATCGAACTGTAGTTCAGCTATTCGTGGCGCTTACGCCGCTTAGCGACTGCCCACTGAATGGAACTCTCCGATATTTAGCGTTGATTTTCCTCCCAAGATCAGCGCAACAGTCTTGTAAAACAGTTGAATCATTCACCGCAAATGCGGATTGAGCCGTTTCGTAAATACTACAAGGACTGGAGTCTGAAGCAGCAGACATTTCCGAATTTTCCGTAGATATCTTTAAATTGAATCTTTCGACAAAGCTACAACATGACACTTCGAATGAGCGCGCGCTCGGAAAGCCTTTACCACGCGTCAAATATTATTGATATTCCGACTAATGGAGCGCCCCTGACTTTTGTAAATCGGTCAGAACTCCCCCACAGATCAGTCAAAATCGCGAAAAAAATGCTTGTTTCCATGGCAATAAGCGTCTAGACCAATCAAAACACTGGATTTTGACTTTTTGACTGACCGACTTTGCGTATGTCAGCTGCTCATTGACTTGACTAAGCTCGTCGGCTCAACCACTGTATGAAATTTGATCACTGGACTACAGTTCGATTAGAATGTTAATTGCTAGCGCTGCATGATAATAGATACTGGACTATTATAAGGTGTCGCTGCATGATAAAAAATAACTGGACTATTGGTCGAATATTTAAGACTTTAATTAAGTTTGCAATTTTTATGTTAGTCGCGTGACTGGTTTGACGACCCCTAGATCCGCCCCTGAGCAAATATATATTCACCGTATTTTCTAGCAAACTATTTGCCGGCAAAAAAGTTTTCCATGCAGCTTCACGTCAAAGTTTCAAAACGTTTATTGTTTTATTTTGAATTAAATTGAAGCCAATTGAAAGCTTCTATTCTACATTATGAAAATCAATGATTCTTTAGTTAAAGAAAATAATATTTTCCATAATATGGTTCACGTTACCATGGCAATCACTACTGTTTTAATTATAAAATACTAAATGTGGAATTTATATACTTCATCTTTTAAGAAAGGCGAGGGGTTGCTTGCATGCATGTATTCATTAAAACTACTATAGTAGTTTTAATGTTATGTGCAATGTATTTTGTAATATGTATCTGTGACGCAAAGAGCGGCTAAGAATGCCATGGTTGGCTGAATGGGCTACCCAGATCATCAAGTAAGTGGGAATAAAAGTACAAACTGCCTACTGGCCGTGAAAGCATCTCCAATCAAATCAATCAACGTCAAAAAATAAGGCATCGCGACAATTTTCTGAACAGGACCCGATTATTAACCAGATAAGCTTTTTTAGGCGTCAGTAACGTACTGAAACAATGAACCGGCGGATAATATTAAAATGTGATTTCAACACAAGTCATGTTCACGATCTAATCATTATACCTTGGGCTGCCAGGTTAAAACCTCCAAATCCAACATTTGTGTCACTTGGTAGTGGTGGTGGCGAGTGGATAGAATGATAGCTAGCCAGACGACGAAACGTCAAAGAGCTGGGTATACTTGCAACTGAGTGTCCGGGAGGTACAATCACACGACTTTGAAAGTCTCGATATGACGCATCAAGGGCCTTGGATAAAAAAAATTAGAGTCAAAAATGAAGAGAAATTAGCTAGTTAAAACCTATTTTTGATACACTTCTACAATCAATGCTTATCATTTTCGATTTAGAAACTGATGGGAAAACATCGTTGAATTATTACTCTTCATACATACGTATATGATATCGATGGACTGATTTGCTAAAGTTTGCTAAAGTTTGCTAAAGTTTGCTAAAGTATTTGCTAAAGTTTGCAAGACCCTAACTCTTGTAAGAATCTTAATTAACCTAACCAACAATTAATTTCGTACTGATTTTCAATAAAGGCCACGATTTGGAAATTAAAGTAAACTTTTCTTGGATAGAAGGAACAAGGAAATATGTGCAACGTAAGATGTGTATGCAGAATGTGTGCAACTACATGTGCGACAGTTTTCGTCAAAAATATTCTGTAATCATTTTTCGCTGTGTAAAATTGTATAACTAACTAGCTACCATGTTTAAATGATAGGGAGTCATCTAAACGACCTTTGTTCACGCACATTGTCATTAGAAAATCTACTTGTCAACTGTAAAATCTGTTATTATGGCCTTACCGCAGCTTCTCTTTCAAATTTTTGAAAACTCTTCTTGTCTTCAATAATACTTGCGAGACTACTTTCATCCATGGTCGAACTGTCCTCTGCCTCAGGTCTTCGCATTGGTACTCTTGTAGATATTTCGTGTCTTCGCAATGAAACGTCCTGCCCGGTTTTACGACGAGATGCTGTTTTCTGTGCGGTTAGGTTTCTTCGTGTTGAGGACGACCTAAAATTCGTGGATGAATACCACAATAATACAATCACATTAATTCAATGATTATTCATCAGTACAATAGAATGATAGGATGCTACAATAGTACACAATAATAGAATAATGCAACAATACTTATAATGTAGAATTAACCCAAAAATTTGTAAAGATAAATTTTCCAGAGCGGGGGGGGGGGGTGTCTTTTTTAGCAGCATTAAGAATAGCTTGCCCGCGAAATTTAAAAGGTTAAAAGGCATTTTGAGTTCATGGGCGAGAAATTTGTTATGTGTTTACAGTTAAAAGTACTAATCTTTCAAAAAATTTTGCCATTTTGTACAAACAAATATATAAAAAATCTAAAACGCGAGCCTGCGTTCAGTGTTGCCCAATTACTATTACTTCATGTTAAATCGATGTTTGGAAAATATAGGTTTTAGAAAGAGATAGCTGACATATGGAAAACAGTATTTAACATTTACTTACACATTTGAATTATTGGCGTTTTGATGACGCAATTCCATACTAAGAACTAAAAATAAATGGTATCAGTAAGAAACAAAATACGGTAAAACATAACGCTTTTCTAAGGGGTTGCTATATATATATATTATTAGCAGCAGTTTCGATAGTGTACAAAGCATGAAAGTTAACGAAATTCAATCAGAATCGTGTATTTTAGAGCTAACAACCGAACTAAGAGCCGTCGGGAGATGAGAGAATATAGCAACTACTGTAGCTCTCCTAACGAAGAACGTTTGCTAGGAACGTGGAGAATTACCTTTTCTTTCATATTGAGTGGCTGTCTTAAACTCTACAGAAAGGGTATTTAATAAATACAAATGCTAGTGCTTCGTATCACCACTCCACTACAAAACTAATTATACAGTATATTTTCGTATTCCGGACCAACATCGCGTGAAGGTATATCGATTAGCATACATGTACACTGTATACTTTTGGAGATACTCAATTGTAAATACAATTGTAGTTTATTTCAATGTTTTGTATTTTTCCACTTCCCTTTTTTAACAAGAGAACAACAGTTGAAAAAATAGAACCTTTCTACCCCTACTCAGATTCGTGGCTACAGGGGGTGGGGGGGGAGTGCCACCCCCTATTTCATCACGGACTCGGCAAATTGTTTTCGGATTTATCGGTAAATTGTTTTCGTAATCAGTGAAAATATTTGAGTGCCTCGGAAAAAAATAATAGTTATAGCAAAAATTTTGCTAAATTTACTAAAATTACGGAGAAAGTTAACAAATTATGAAATGTCCGGAAAAATTTTTGTATGTCCGGAAAAATTACGATATATCCGAAACCATTTTTATCCTCTTAGCTACGCCCCTTTGTAAATGTAGGATAAATTAAAGTATTAAAGAATAAAGAACTGTAACTTACGTCGCTCTGTTTGTTCTTGCATCATCTTCAAATTTTCTATTTCCGTTTCCAAGAATCGTTGGGTACTCACCTGTTCCTCACATATCTTCTGAAAATGATTGGCTCTTTGAATCTAGCGGATAAAACGTATTGAAAGAAACTTAAAGCGGTAATTGTTGGAAAATAAAAAATAAATAGTCAGACAATGCTAGATCTACTACACGCTATTGTCTCAATTAAAGGGAAATGGCAACATATTTTTCTATTCTCTCATTTGAAAGAACTTTTAAGACCATATATAATATTCGTTTACCGTTTTTTTATATCTTACTTATTTTTACAAATATTTTGATCGAAAGGAATGAAATGTCCGGCATCTTCATTTTTTGTATAGATATGCATGTCACGTCACAACAGGGGTCAGGGTTTTTTCAGGATTTTCTCTTGGGTCCGTTTTTGCAGATTTGTATTCAATAAATGCAGTTGAGACGAATGTATTAAAGCTGGGGCACTAAGGGACATTATAAACTGGTTAAAGATGGCGAATGCGTAGTTTTTCTTGTGTTGTGAGATGAATTCCAGCCATTTTTTCTTAATTGTCGGGCTTCCAACTGAAAACTAATTTCCACACGTCACAAAATTTAACTCAAACAACTTCATTTTTACTACACTGAAACTTTGCCCTGGGGGTCACGCAATATTTTTATCTAGACAACCACTAATCATTTTGCACTCAAAACTATACTCTGTCTGCCCTTCGAAATATCAAGATCACTCAAAACCTTTAAAACGTCCACCAATCATTATTTGGTCAGCAACGAATACTTTTATATGGTTAATCCCTGTTGTGACGTCACCAAAACAACCGTTAATAAGATTAAAAATTTATCCAAGATGGCGGACATCTCATTACTTCACGTGGAAATATTTCAAGAACTAAGCAAGATATGAAGAATCGGTAAGAGAAAATAAAAATTTATGTTGCCATTTCCCTTTAAGTCTAACTTCGCAAAGTTTGTACAGTGAACGGTGCACGTGCACAAATATTGTTACAGTGAACGGTGCACGTGCACAATATTGTTACAGATCTGCAAACAAGTTGCAACAGGGTTGTTGTCAAGCTGATATCATATTAGGCTCAGATTCCAGCCGTTGTGTTCTCGCCACTCGCCCACTTAAACACAACGGCTGGAATCTGAGCCTAATATCATATGTGTTCGTACTTCTTGTTCCGATAAGTCTGGAACAAGTTGTTATCACTTTGTTACAAGGATGACGACGGTGACAGACTTGCCACAAGATGTTCCAACAAGGCTGTCGTCAACTTGTTACGTGCAGACGACATCCGACTTTATTGAACAACCTGTTCCGAGTCTGTTGGCTTCATCAACCTTGTTACAAGATGGCAACCACATGTTATATACAGATTTGTCAACAACTGGGAACAAGCAGTGAAACACTTCCTGTTGACAAGTTGTGATATTTTTACACGTGTAATCATGAAGATCATGTAGATGGAAGTAAGAATCATTATTATATGGCTTTTCAAAATTCTCTATTCTGATTGGTTGGCAAGCGGTCAGTAAAAACCCATATCCGGTCCGTGGTCCGTATTTTCCGTATCTGGACCGGTGTCCCGGATGTCGTTTATCTGGCGGGAAATTTTTGCTTTGCAAACAGAAAAAATGTTTGCTTTTTAATTTTCCAATTGTGTGTCAATAAAATTTACAGATAAAAATTTCAAACAACCAAATTGTTTTTGATTGAGCATGCATGTCTACCGTATATTGTTACCCAGTGAAACTGACGATAGCCGATTTAATTCGCGCGAAAAGCATATGCTCACAGACTCAGTTCAGCCATATAATAAACCGATTATTGACCTCGCTTGTTCGGTCTGTACTGTGAAATATCAGACCTGTTTGTTTGCATGGACTTCGCTCCTTCGCTCACAGTACAGACCTCACGCTCGGTCGATAAGCCGTTAGTCTTGCAAGAATGTGGTAGAAAACCCTTCATCAAGTTTCCTTAAATTTATATTATTAATTATCCTCAGATACAATGTAAAATTACCTCGGACTCCAATTGTATTTCTAAGGTCCTTCGTTCTTCATAAGAAGCTCTTTCTTTCTCATAGTATGTCTCCTTTGCAGTTTTCAGCTCCTGCCTTAATATTACCTTGAAAAGGACAAAAATAGTTCTTGGTTGCTTTCAATTCATAATCCTGAACTATTACCGTTGCAAATAAGAACGCATTGCATTTCAAAGTCGGCATTTTGCTGATTATACATAGTAGAAGCGAAAAACAACTTTAAGACAATATAGTGTTAGTATAAATTCAGTATTGAAAAATGGCTTTCAAGCGCTTTCAAGCAGTATCTCTGAGGCAATAGTTATTGCTCAGACTCTGAAACAAAATGGCTGCCGAAAATCCACTTGCAAACAAATCATCGAAGAAAAATTGAAGAAATTAAAGCACATACTATTCATCTAAAAGCAAAAGAAGCAACAATATATATTATTGTTGAAAGACAATTTATTTGGCAATTTAAAACCGGAAAATAACAGAATCGGGCGACACGGTTCCGAGTCTATCCAACTACGTCAGAAATGGCTGTGAGCGAGAGTGAGGAACTATGTTCCAACACACTAGAGACTAATGTTATAGAATGTAAGCATCAAGCCATTGTTTGAAAACTGCTGTACTGTTTGGAGCAGTTGTAGTCAGGGCAATATGGATGATCGTTTCAAATTGCAAAAACGTTGGATAGCTATCCAACATCAAGATCTTTTGAAAATTTCAAAGAATTAAAATGGCTCCCAAACGACCAGGTGCCATAGATATCTTATATACACTAGATAGTGCATCTAATTATTCTGCAATTCAAAAATTGAAGCCGTGATTGCAGACTCAGGATATTCCCATGAAATGAGAAGACTCGTATGTTTTAAACAGGGAACTTAAACATTAAGTTAAACCTATTCCAAATAGATTTTCAAACTATTCAAATAATGAAAGTTATTGTTGTTTTATAAGCGTTTATTAGCGAGTGGGAAACTCCAACATGGCCGCCATCTATACAAACGGGGGTAACCGCTGGAATATTCTTGGCTTCAATTTTACTAAAAGAGATGCGCTATCTAGTTTATATAAGATATCTATGTCAGGTGCTTGTCATAAAAAAACTTTGTCTCTTTTGAAAAAGTATCAACGGTCAAATTAAAATTTAAAGTAATGAAATCAAAGTTATCATATCCTCTTTTCCAAATACAAAGTTGACAATATTTTTTAAAGTCCAAAGATAATATTAGCTCATATAAAATCTCGCTTTTCTCTTTTATTAATTAGTACATTTCTATTACAATAACATAATTTTGTATTTATTTTCGAGGGCCACTAGGGAGAATAGGTATGTAATTAGTGTTACCATCGTTAAACCGCCCAGTCTTGTTTTTTGACATCATACATCGCTAATGTGATATCATGATGTCATGCATACGTTAGTATATCCACACTCTCAATCAATTTTAATGAGATGAAATCTCATTTTAATTTTTTATTACTTCAAAACCCGTCATTCTCAGAATAGACTTTACTAGAACAAAAACTATGTCTCTGAAATCTATTCGTTTCGGTATTTACTATATGCTCCGTTATTTGACACGAATATACTGTGCCTTGCCCTTGGTCTGTAATCTTTCGTTGCGAAAAGTCACATATATGCGGATAACATAACTGTTTCCTGAACATATTTAAATAAATAAATGTTTGCCTAGTGAGGAACTCGCTCACTAAGGCAGTTAGACCTTACCAACGTTTAATATGGCTATACCGTGCACCTCCCCTGAGATTTTTTGCGGTATTAACAATATAATCTCCAGTAAATGTTAGTTAAATCGAGTGAAATGCTCATAATTTATAGGTAGGCTATCTATAAGAAATTCAACACCTTTCTACTGGGCAATTACTTAGTAATTATCCCTTTGTTTCAGTAACTGAATTATATTCTTATAAATTCAGAAATTAATTAATGGTACTGCTAAAATGACCTCTATTAATGGACCATTTGCATTATAGACTAAATTTTGATCTAGACAAAAATTTCATCACAGCTTGAAAGAGCATCACAAAATTAGTAATATTCCAAAGTTTCGTTGCGAAATGTTGTAAAATGCGGATAATGTAGCCTTGCGAAATTTGCAATTTTCAGTCATTTTGTATTACAAACGGATTACAAATTCAATTTCAAATTCAATTTCCCGTGCGTAATACAAAATGACTGAAAAACGGAAAACTTCGCAAGACTATATTATCCGCATTTTACAACATTTCGCAACGAAACTTTGGAATATTACTAATTTTGTGATGCTCTTTCAAGCTGCGATGAAATTTTTGACTAGATCAAAATTTAGTCTATAATGCAAATGGTCCATTTATTTAGCTTCCATTCTTACAAAAAAAAGGAAAGATATACTTACAACTTCTTTGGAAGGTTTACCAGTCGTTTCAGTCAGATCTTTAACCAGTTTATGGTGTCCTTCAGGAGTAATAAAAAGATGAAGATTTTAAAGAAACAAGTGGTCAATGAAGATATTTTATCCTTGCAATACAGTCGTTTATATCTAAGGACATTCGTATTGTCAAGACGATTTGAATGGTTTTGATCAGATTTATTTATTTCATCGCGTTTACCTATATAGTCTGAAGCTGATTGACGCATGAGTTACATAAAACTTTCAAATATTCGTTATACATAGCCTACATTGGAGATTTACGTGAAATGTTTTCCCCGACTGTTCGATTCCCTAAATGCACACAACGCCAAAAAACTAAATTTTGTTGTGTTAAACGTTAAGAAATTCTGCCTGGAGTTGGAAAATTGTTGATATTGTTAATTACCAAGAAATGCGTTGTCAACAATTGCTCCTACAAGTTTACAAAGGAAAATCAACTACCATATACTACAGTTCACTTACTTTTTTCTTGCGCTTTACAGTGCAAGTTAGTTTCTGTCAAACGCCTAGGAATTAAGAAAATTTCAGTCATGGATAGCTTAGGATATACGCGACAATAGCTTCATATTAAAATAAACGCACTCTAGACAAAACACCCTTTCTCGGATAAGTGGACGGAATTAGTCAGATAATACGTGTTTGTTAAACAAATACTCAAACTATAATGGAATAATTTCTTTTCATTAAAATATTTACACTGAAAACAAGTTTAATTAAATAGGAAAGTGACACATTCTCCGAAAAAGAATGTGGTCGGCACTATGTTTTGCAATTTTAGTCATGTCCACTGCACAATAGTATAGCATTGCACAATGTTTCCAAACCTATACAAAGCAACTATGAAATCAACACAGGTTTCATTACGACGAAAATTCTTTATAATGGATCCAGTGATTATATTATATAGGCTATATAGTACTAATAATACAACGTACTGAGTTAAATGTTCAATATCCTTCGTCAAAAAAACTTCTTTCTCCTTCAGCGCATGGTAGTCTTTCATCTGCAGAGAAGTGGAAATGCATAACCCATATAAGGAACGTATAAAGGTATTTTTTATTTACACATATAAACAAAATAACGATAATAATAATTTTAATCTTCTGTAAAACAGTCCTATATATTAATTGCAACATCGACCTCTGCAAGCTTTTGTTCGACATCCTGTTTTCGCTTCTTCAAATCTTCTGATAACAATTTGGATGTCTCAACTGACGACTATAAAACAAAACAATAAGTATATGCACTGTAAAAAAACTGCATTAAATTATATGTACATAAATCTTCAAAGAATAAATAAAAAACTAAAATACCTGCAGTTGAAAGCACTTTTCTTTGAAAGTAGCAAGTTCCTTTTGGCATTTTAAATATTCTTCTTTTTTTCCGTCCAGTTTTGATCTCTCGGCTGAAATTCCCAAAACACTTCACTTAATCCGTACATTGTGCCGAAGTTAGTTTATTTACTCATTGTTGATTTCATCTTTATGATCAATCAATCAATCAATCACTCACAGAAACTGTTCCTATTCTTTTTTTACAATTTTTGGATAGAAAGAAAGTCAACAACGGTTAAAAGTATTTGGTCATTTTGCGACATGCATGCAGATTCACAATTTCTTTATTATAATACAATGACAGAGATTCGGCACATATATATTTAATATCAGAATAAAAAATGCTATATTTAATTCCAATAATGAGAGGTATAAAGTACTCGTTTACCTTCTAGACGAGATTCCCATCGCATTAGCTCCTGATTCCTTGCTGAATGTTGTCTCTCATAATCACTTTTGAAACTATAATTACATGTTATGGAATTACGTTAGCAATAGCTACGTTGTACTGTAGATGTTATGATATTTTTGGACGCGTGCTCGCGTCTCTAAGATATAAGAGGGTGGGAAATAAGGGGGTCTATAATATATAACGAAAGGCACCGAACTGTGGAATCGCGTCAAAAAATCGTATTGTCGCCACTCCCACAAACGTCTACGACCGCATCTACATATTTTTGCATGCTTACAATTCTAATTTTAAACAGCCAATCCGGTTCTTGGTAACAATTACAATTGAACGTCGATTGGCTGTTTAAAATTAGAATTGTAAACATGCAAAAATATGTAGGCGCGGTCGTAGACGTTTGTGAGAGTGGCGGCGATACGAATTTTTGATGCGATTCCACAGTTCGGTGACTTTCGTAATACCTCATTAACTATGTTTTGCCTGACCACGGTGTGAATCGAATCCCCGACCTTTTGGGACACTAGTCCAATGCTCTACCAACTGAGCTACGAGTTCTCAATGGGTGAAATGAGGCGATATATATAACGACACTGACGAATGCCATTACAGAGGTGCGAATTAACCTTATTACGAAAGAAAAGGAGAAACAGCATGCTCTCAAAGAAAAGGAACGTGAAGAACAGTTAGTGTTCGAAAAGAGGCAATTCGAACAGAAATTAGAATTTGAGAACAAACTCGAAGAAGCTCGAAATTGTAAAGATCAGGCTTATGAATGCAAACCGCATAAAATTCAAATTCCAAACTGCCAGAACTCAAAATGACAAAATTCAATGGGAACGCGAGTAACTGGCTAACATTCTGGAACGCGTTTGAGGCGGAGATTGACAAGGCTGGTCTAACGCCAACTACGAAGTTTGCCTACCAAAAAGAAATCCTAGAACCGGGAATACGGACTGAAGTAGATGGGTTGCCTTTTTCATACGAGTGCGCCAAAACGATTTTAAAAAGTGAATACGGACGACAAAGTGAGATTGTAAACGCGTACCTGTACGTACAAAATATCATGAACTTGCTGCATTCTCGTACCCAGAGCCCTTCTTACGCGCGGTGCGACGAGGGACTCCGTCAAATCCATATTCCGAACTGGCATCTGATTGGCTAGTTCTAACACCGGACATTGTTTTCTTACCATGTTTTTATAGTATCCAGTTATGGATTTGGCCAGAGCCCCTCGTCGCACCGCGCGTAAGAAGGGCTCTGGGTACGAGAATGGAACTTGCTGGTAATTATACTGGGTCCCAGCCTTCCAAGGTGCACGCATTTTGTAAAACACTATTGTTTGATGTACAAACTCTGTTTTAATTGCACGCGAAGTCAACATTGTGCCGCAGATTACAAAAGTCGGTCTGCATGCCATAAATGCCAACGTAAGCATCACACTTCCATATGCGATCAACGCGACAACAAACTTATGGCAGCCTCTTGTAACGAAAACAGATCGGTATGCTATCCTGTCGTTGTTGTAGAAGTAAACAGGGTTAAATGACAGGGGCATGACTGTCCACATATATGAATTAGTCATAAACTTGTTTAGTTACTTTAAATTTGTTGGCATTTTAGTATTAGTATTTTTATTGACTACTTATTGATATATACATATAATCAGTTATATTCACGGACACGAAATATACGAGAACATTTGTCTCGTCGGAGACAAATGAGGGGAATGTGTTGAGAATTCTAGTTAATCATTATACATCTAATCATATGTAAACAATGACGACATTCAATTAGAAATGGACACATTTTTTGCATGCCAAATATAATCTAATGTATGTGTAAGTTGATAGGTTTTTTGCCGTTAGTTGAGAATAGACAGCCAAACAGGGCGTGTGAGCGAAATATTAATATAGAACTTAAAAAGCAAGAAAACGTGTGATTTTTGAATTGCGTTGCGACTACAAAGCATTTCCAACACGGGTTAGGGTTACAAAAAACCTTTTTAATAGCGCTGAAAACTTTAATATTATTAATGCATTTATTCAGGTAAAACTTCCTAGAACACTTTTAGCTTTTTCTTAATAAAACGACATGCTTAGCATAAACACGCGGATCTTAATTAAGATAGGCAGTTTATTTGAACGTAGCGTTCCAGTTCATTTCACTGGGATACATGCATCTAATCATGTGTAATTGGTCATCATTGTGGCACAACGTAACGTTTCATTCATGCAAGGCACAAAAGGATAATAATTCATCATAAATTAATGCTGAATTTAGTATGTAATGCTAGGTAATAGATTTGGTTATAAATTATATTAATACTTAAAATCTAAAATTATTAATGGGATACAGGTAGATTTTAAAAATTAAGGGTAATTCAAAACGATATTTCAATTAAACCTTTTTAATTTGTTATTCACTGCAAGCTAGAGAGGTAAAACATTTTGTAAGTCTACATTACTTTTCCACTTCTGTGTTGAATCGTTGCGCCAGCATGTTTTCTTTCTCCTTCATTGCATCTTCTCTGACTTTCAACTTTTCAACTTCATTCATAAGTCGCTCTTCTTCAAGCTTCTGCGACCTTTAAAAATATAGAAAAAACCTTTTTACAACAACGCTGACGTCACGACGTTACGGGACGGTTGCTTTCCTTCTGAAAAAAAGAAAGGAAGATTGCGTTTAATGAAAATCTTGAATCGCATTTTTATACAAAAGATATGCGCAAAGTGCAGGTGGAAATTTTAAAACATTGTCGATAATTTAAACTGGTGGGCCTGGTATGGGATCTGATTAAATATTGATGCCAACAATTAAAAGTATACGCGGTTATTATTGCCCAGTTCATTAGCGTTCTCTTTTCTCTTGAGGAGGGGAACAATTTGGTACGGCCTAAATACAACATTTGTTTACTGGATATCCACGAGCGTGCTTATTCAGAAAACTCTCCACGAATCAAAGAAAGTAAGTTTTTCTATTTATAACTATAAATAATTTAATTGACTTTGGGATAGTGAAGCTCATTACGTAACCCCTCGTTGGCCAAGGGTCGTAACTGCACAAAAGCAACTTACACATAAACGAGTGAAAATTATTCATAGTTTTCAGGGGAAATTGTTCATAGGTTTCAAGCTTTCATCCAGATTGATACAAATTTCTACATGAACTTGCTACAGTTCGATACCCATGCATTCAGCCCATGCAATAGCTTACGTATATCAAATTCGTTCAAGTGTCTGGCATTCCTTGTGTAAATTTGCTATCTTTTTTTACTTTAATTGAAATGACTTTCCATCAGCCAATACCTATACAGTTACAGCCATTTCTGGATTTCCGAACATTTTGTGAGGTTTTTATAGATAGTTTGATACACCCAGTAACAAAACAACATTTGACAAAAATCTCATTACGCAAATGTACACAAATATGGTATTTACTCGAAATCTCATGAATTCGATTGAAAAGAGGAAATTGCATGGCTATTGCTGCTAATTTCAAGTGTTCTACACTTCTAACGCAACTATCATGCATGTAAGGAGCCGCCTCAAACCGTCCGCCAATACGGAAGACTTCTGGCACCTGTTAAAAAGCTTTCAGGCTGGGCACAAAAATTCGAAGTTGCAACTAAAAGACATGTGGACGAATACAAATTAGTTAAATATTCCGTGTTTCATCTTGCTAAATGACTGCTTGAATTATGGGTCGTGCAGATATACAAGGAACGTTTTCTCAATGCGTTTGTCAAGTACTTGCCACCTTAAAATTCACAAGAATCCCGCTATATCATTTTAGGCAACTTCACAAAGATTCGTTTACAGTTGAAAAAGACGACTATATTGTCATGTCTTCATTATTTTTACAATCATTCCTTCCATTTGTCGTGTTAATGTTATTTCATTTGACCGCAACGGACGCAGCTCAGGGAGTATTTTATCAAAAAATAAAAAACGGTAGGTAAAAATATGTCTAAATTTGAAGACTAAACCATTCAGGGCATTTTTAGAGAAATTACAACTACTGGGATCAGTCTCAATGAGGGCCTTTTTCCCACACAGTTTATACGGGTAGATAAAAACACTCTGTGCTCAGGGGCAGCGCTAGCGCTATTTGAATAGGGGCGTGGGTGGGTGTAAGTGAAATATTGCCTACTAATTTCAAACGCTAATTAGTATTTCTTTTCATCCAACTGGGACTAGATAATTTGCCGACTACCTGACGATTGGGGGTGTTCCACACCCACAATCCACTTTTAGCGCCGCCCCTGCTTGTGCTGACTTTTATAAGAGGGAATGTCGAGAATGTGAGAGGATATAAGAAAGCAGGGAGATGCAGCTTTTTCAACAAGGTTAACCTTTTACTAATGATCAAGGCGAGGGTATTAATTCCGCTCGGTACTGATACCCGCGTAAAGGAAAGTAAATGGATATGTTTCATGAAGATTAAATAAATTATTTCATGGGAAAAGCCTCGAAAAGCAGCAAATTTTTTCAATACTATTTACATATAATGATAAATCATGAAACATAAGGCATGCCAAGATGCACTAGGCCAAGGAGAGGCCCTTGAGAGACTGTTTAATTTGTTTGTGACGCATTTTCCCTCAAAATTGTTGCCTGCACACTGTTGCCATTTAAATTTCAAATAAAATGAACTGATCTCATTTTGAAAACAACGTTTATCGGCAAACGGTAGAAAGTGGAAACATATTGTAAACTGAAGGTTATAGTCTATTGAATGCCTTATAATACACCTATACATGCATTCACCTACATTGTATATTTCGGCAATTGATAATTTAGTCCACAGTTAGAAGTATATTAACCGTTTCACTGTTTTTGCCATTTTGTACAAAAAATTAAAGACAACCTTAGTACTACGTTATCATGACTACCATGGCACATGTACAATTGTTTTGGTCAGCGTAGGCTTTCTGGCATCCTTGTGTAGAAAAGTAGGACAAAAGTAGGACTAAAATTTTAGGAAAAGTAGGAATAAAGTAGGAAAATGTGTAGAAAAGTAGGACAAAAGTAGGAGTTTTGGAGATTCAAATAACACAAAAATATACAAAATTGACCCCCTAGGATATATGTGGTAAGAGGTAGACATCTGACATTAGATATCTGATGGGGAAGTTGTGTGAATTTTTGGTGCTCAATATTTTTATGTACTCATTCATCTATGCAGGATTTTTTTCTCAAAACTCTTAAATTGCATCGGTATAAAAGCTAAGGCATCTTCTCCGCAGCAACACAATTAAAATGCATGTATTAGGCTACACAATGCATCAATCCACACTGCGGCAGGAGCATATATCAGGATCGTAGGAAGCTCTTTTCGATTGGGGGAGGGCTGAAAGTGAGGGCCAAAGGCCCGAGGAAGTTTTTAAAGTTAGAGTCTCTGAAATGCCATTTACTGGACTTTGGGGAAGATTTGACAGAATTCTAATGGTCAGAAAACAGCGTTTTAGTATGTCGAAATTTACAATTTAGTAGTACTAAATGGGCGAAGACGTATTTAATTAACTATATATTGGATAAGTTGCTGGAAAGTATGGGTAATATCTTCATTCTTTGCAGTTTCTCATGGATTAAATGATAAAGGTCTGCATGATTTTGAAAAAAAAAGGATTATTAACAAATTATTGGGTGGCTGCAGCCCCCCGGTTGCTACAGCCCTGTATATATGATGCTTGATTAACTGGGGGAGGGGGGGAGGAGTTGAATATTTGGAATCTCTAGATCGTCGGAAATGCACTTTCAAAGTCTTCATTAATTTATTGATTATGATTCTAGAGATGCTATGAAATTTTATACTTGGAAAATGTACTTCTTCTCCTCCTGAGATCTTATCATTTGGGACACAAATAGGGAATAAAAATTACTAGTCCTATAGATCTAATTACGAGAGCTATAACATACTGATTCCCCAAGCTGTCTTAAAAAAGTAGGATTTCAGTGAGAAAAAGTAGGAAAAAGTAGGAAAATCAAGCAATTTTTAATAAAAAATAGAAAAAGTAGGAAAGTTGAAGAAAAGTAGGAAAAAGTAGGAAAAGTAGGATGGCAAGAAAGCCTGTCAGCGGTTCGCTAATTGCAAATACTTACAAATTGGGAACGATAGTAGTTTGGTTAGAAATGGCGAGCGGTTGCTGTGTGCATGTTTTCCAGTTAAAACTTATTTTGTCTCATCAGAAATTCCAGCGTTAAATCATAAGCTACAGGGTTAGTTGGTAAAGGTTGCAGAGTGAATGTTATACGATAATATTTCGAATATCTAAATTAGATTTTGATATTTTTTGAACTGGCCAAAGGGCGTACAAGAGCAAACCAGAATTAGCCTTTTCCCAAAAGAGATTATAGTGCATTCTGGGACCGTTTAGAGGGAGAAAATATATGGTGACAGGCGTCAAAATGTGAAAAGGTAGTGTCTAGTATCTAGTATCTAGTATCAAATATCAAAGTTTTAGACGACCAAAAATGAAATATCTCCTTTTACATTATACATTTCATTTAAATGTGTGCTGGCATATTTCTTGTCCCTCCAACATGGGATTCGCGCGACTAGACCCAGGACTTTGGGAAATGGCTAATTACAAACCCTATGTTGAAGCTTGCGAAATGTAATTGTCAGAAATAACCATTTTTTGTAAGGATTAGTGGAGAATGGAACAATTTACCTAAACATGTGGTGGAGGTCGCCTCGCTGCATTTCAATCTAGACTGGAATCATTCATGAACTTACTATCCTTCCCAGTAAACTGTGAAACTACCGTTTCTTACCGCCGTTCGTCAGTGACAGTTATCAATTACGAGGGAAATGTTTGTGTCGGGCAGTTAAATAGGACTTCTAATTTTATTGTCCAATCAAGTGCATAGTTTTGAATCAAACGCCAGGAATTCGTCACAGACATCCGAGCGAAGGTCAATACAACAAAATACATGAAATATCTTCGCTTAATTGCAAGTCTTATGCTAATTTGGTATATTTACCCAGATTTGTTCATTTCGAGGTCCATTTATCACTTATTTACTGAGACCGAGGGAAACACTGTGTTTTGTGGACACGAGACCGTCGATGTTTCCCGAGGCGAAGCCGAGGGAAACATCGACGGTCGAGGGTCCACAAAACACACTGCTTTCCCGAGGTCTCAGTAAATAAGTGTTTTATTATATATCAATAGTCAAAGAAACAACAAATTAAAGAACAAATGAACGTAAATACATAAAATATTTTATTGTTAAAACGTTATATTAAACACTGGCTACACTGCAATACTGCACTACTGAAAGTTTTAATTACGTACTAGGCATGTCCAAAGGTCGCATCTTCACGTGATGGCGCACGTGATTTTTTTTTGTTATTCGCCGGTCGATAACGTATTATCTCCCTCTCGCGCTGTTGCGAGGGAGACAGCCTAATTTCGTCACTCTCACGTGATATGCTCTCAACCAATAAAACACTAGAAAAATGCGACTTTGATATCACGCTATCACGTGACTGCTTTACGCTAGCTATCACGTGACTGCTTTATGCCAGCCAGGGCGGGGTTGTTGCTCGAAAAAAAGAGTTGTTTCGCAGTTTACTGGGAACAATAGTATTTTTATAATATGCCTTCTTTGTTTGGCAATCGTTAAAATATGGATAACCTCTCGATTCCCGTTTCAAGGTTATTTTTCTTGAATACATTATTTATGTATGTATGTGTGTGTATGTATGTATATGTATGTATATGTATGTATATGTATGTATATGTATGTACGTCTACCACGCGATGTCTTCAGTAGTAAGTGCATACAACTTAAAACTACTTTACTTTACTTTACTTTTTTTTACTTTACTTTTTAACTTAGAACTTGACAACAATTCTCATATTTGTAGTATATAGGATGCATGTTTATATTGTATACAATCGTTGATAATTGTAATCACTGTTCTCCCGTTAATATACCAGCAGCATTGCTGATGGGATTTTTAACAGTTTAAATAAAGTGTTTATTATTAACTAGCTCCCTCAAACAAATAAAATTTAATTACATATCCTTTCTTTTAGATCTTTCAATAAGGTTTAGCAATTTAAAATCAGCTATTTATAAATACGAGTAACGCGAAACGTTAATTCCTGTGAATCGCTATTCTAGGTGGTGGTTTCTTGCTAAATGTCATCTCTAATGAAATTGTATCGTCAGTAATGGAATGCGGCCACTGTGTCAACGCATACAGAACTGCACAGGTTTTAACCACAAGTCAACAAAAATAAGAAAGGAAAAAAATTGTCAACTTGTTAATGGAAGTATGAAATCTATTCGACAGACAGATGATTCAATGGAATGGACTTTATATAAATCTATAAAGGTAATACTAAATAAGATTAAAATTACGTTTGGATTGAGGATTCTCCCAAGTTGCTTTGCATGTCTCCCCCATTCCTTTCCCTTCCGCCCTCTTCCTATCCCTCGTCTGCACGTGTCCCCCTTCTGCCCTCACTGCTAGGTTTCCAGTAACTGCTCTTGCTGCCTAATTTAAATTACTCATGCATGGTGCATGAAAATTGTGGGACAGATTCCTAGTTCAATCACTTGATGGCCCCCGAGCCATCAATCTTGACCCTGGACCGATCTTGACCCTGGACAGACTGGAAGATAGAACTTAAGTGGAACCCGAGGTAGCACACAATGCATGAATGCTGATAACAATAAAATAATGAATATTCGGTAGTGTTAAGCCTCTTAATCTATCCCATAAGTCAACTCGCAAGCTCGTTGAGATTGCTTTCATCCAATCAAAATGCTCGACAGTTTATTTTAATTAGATGCAAACACTCGGAGCGAGCTTCGGAGTTGATTTTTGCGATAAGTAGAAAAGACTCTTTATAATCAGTACAGAAATGTTGACTAACAAGCGATGACATTCCCAAGATTCTGCTTCACTGGATTGTATTGTGGGGCCTTCTTGACTATAGAGGAGCACGCTCAGATTTAGTATTTATTTTATTTATGCTATTTTAAAGCAGTTATGATATCATTCACATGCATATAGGCCCTAGCCTTAGTAAATATTTGCCTATGTTTGCATCATTAATTCTACCGGTCCTTTAAAATACATTCGCTCAGATTAAATTCGGCCTAGTTACAACTTCTATTTTTCATAGCAACGCATAATGGCATAGCTGCATAAATATGCATTAAACTGCAGCGTAGTGTGATGTTACACTTTGAAGTATGTGGTCATGCATTGGCGTGTAATTTTTGTTGCATGCCATATATGGCATGCAACTTTCATATAGATTATAGCTCTAAATTCCGTGTCGTCGTGAGCGGTGACCGTACCGGTGGTCGTAAATCACGTGGCAGATTCGTAAAATGCGACAAATACGGAGTTTTTCCGACGAGCATTTTCATGTGATGTGAATCACTCATGCACGTTTTCGTCCACGTCTTTCGTCGAGGAAACACAAAAAATATATATTACAAAACTTCAAAACTACAGTACATTTTGTAAATAACAGGAAATATATTAAAATATCAAACAAAATTCTCATTAATACTATTGTAAAGCTGATTTAACCGAACATGTATGTTACAAGTTCTTTGTATGTTTGCATGGTGATAAAATATAATAGGTTTTGTTTGTGGAAACACCACGTAAATTTATTACTGCAAAGCTTTCGATCCGTAAGCCCGGATCTTCATCAGTGCTAATAATATGTGACTTGTTTAATTCACACGCTCTTTTTATATACAAAAGTGTCGTGATCTGTTGGCTCGCGTCATTTGAAATTTAATTAAACGGCACATCAACCACATTCCAAACGTAGTGAAGTGATTCCAATTAACGCGCGCGCATCCAAGACAAGAGAAATTAATTTTGCACATTAAAGAGAGCACGCCACGTACTATCTAGTGGCTTTCCCTCCTGATCTATAGTATTGTGCTTCTCAATTTCAATTGACTCTCTCATTTTGCGATGAAATCTTGGCTCTTTTAAACACTTCAACTTATAAAGAGCTTAAAAGAGACCCTACAGCTAACATTGAACGTAAAATATGTTCCAAACTATCTGGTTTTAAAAAGGCAGGTATTTTGTCTCAAACACTTCATAACTGTTTGAGACCTCAGCTACTGTTTGTCCAAAATTTTATGGTTTGCCTAAGATACATAAACCTAATGTCCCACTAAGACCTATTGTAGCGTCCATAGGTTCGCCAACGTATGCTCTGGCTAAATATCTCGCTGAGATATTGAAACCAGTTGTTGGAAAAACAGAACATCATGTAGTAAATTCTAAAGAATTTGTAACAAAAATGGAACAAATTAGATTGGGTAAGAATGACATTCTGGTAAGTTTTGACGTAGTTAGCTTGTTCACTAATGTTCCAGTTGAAGAGGCTTGTAATATCGCGAAAGAAAGACTTCTTTCAGATATTACTTTATCGCAAAGAACTAACCTTTCTCCTGAGAATGTTCATGATTTGTTGAAACTATGTTTGACCACGACATGTTTTCAATGGCGGGAGAAATTCTATGAACAAACAAACGGCGCTCCAATGGGAAGTCCATTGTCGCCTGTTATGGCTAATTTGTTCATGGAGGAATTTGAAAAGAAGGCCTTATCTACTGCAAAGTTGAAACCTGGTTTCTGGTTCAGATACGTGGATGATACATTTAGTAGCTGGTCTCATGGACTAGATAATCTACAAACGTTTCTAGACCACATTAATAGTTTGCATCCATCGATCAAGTTTACTTTTGAAGTACAGAAGGATGATAAAACTATACCTTTCTTAGATGTTCTTTTCACTATACATGATGATGGGTCGCTAGGACATAAGGTGATAAGGTTTATAGGAAACCAACACATACAGACAGGTATCTGCATTATAATTCATTTCATCATCCTAGTATCAAAAACTCTGTGTGTAAGACACTCATCAACCGAGCGAAAACAATTTGTGAGGTAAGTAACGTTGACAATGAATTAAAAACAAATGGTTACCCACGGCATTTCATAGATAATGCTATAAAAACGCCACAAAGTATACAGCAGAAGATTGAGTATCAGTCGTCTGTTTGTCTACCATACATTGGCCCGGCTTCACACCAAATCGAAAGAATTTTGAGGAATGAAGCAGGTATAAAGTTATACCATTCTAGCGAAAACAAATTGTTTCGAGCTCTTTGCACACATAAGGACAACGTAAATGAATCTCAGAAACCTGGTGTGTAACGCATTCCTTGTGAATGTGGTCTGGTTTACATTGGTGAAACTGGTCGAAATCTCTCAGTACGTCTTAAGGAACACAAGACGAATTGCGAGAAAGCCGAGCAAGATAAATCTGCTGTGGCTAAACATACTTGGACTTACGACCATCGTATAAAATGGGACGAAGCAACCATTCTGGCGATTGATAGTCACAAGTTCTCTCGCAAAATGAGAGAGTCAATTGAAATTGAGAAGCACAATACTTCCTGGTAAGACAGAGTTCTGTGTGTTTGGCTCTAATAGAATGCTAGCGAAGACAATTATCCCGCCGATAACGTTTCTAGGGAAGGAATTACCTGTCGTTGATTCGGTGAAGGACCTCGGAATGATAATAGACAAACATTTATCATTTAACGATCACACAGACGCTTTAACAAGCGATCTTATGGGCAAGTTAGCAATGATTAGTAGAATTCGTCATCTATTTGACAAATCTACACTTTTCATTGTAATTAACTCGCTTGTTTTTACAAAGTTATTCTACTGCTCCTCGGTATGGTCAGGTACTAGCAAATCAAATCTTGCTAAACTTCAACAAGTGCAAAACTTTGCAGCCCGCCTGTTGTCAGGAAAGAGGAAATATGAACATATTACACCCACCCTCAAAGAGTTAAAACTACTTCCAGTATCCGAGGCTTTTAGACTTAGAGACGGTGTTCAAATGTTTAAGTGCATGAATAATCAAGCACCGAATTACCTGATTAATATGTTTCAAAAAAGATCAGACATTCATAATTATAATACAATGAACACCAATGACCTGAATCTAGCAAAGTGCCGCACTGCACTGGCTCAGAATTCATTTTGTTATAGAGGCGCGGTGATATGGAACTCATTGCCATCTGAGCTCCGTGATTTAGCCAGCCTGAACTGTTTTAAACGTAGTTTGAGAAGCCATCTTCTTAGAAGTTGGCTTGCTTAATTTTATAGTATATAAATAACTAGTTTATAATATTGTATAATTTCAGATATTTAATCGTGTAAATTAGGTATGAAGATCCTCTCGGGGAACCTAATAAATTTTATTGTATTGTATACTATAGATCAGGAGGGAAAGCCACTAGATAGTACGTGGCGTGCTCTCTTTAATGTGCAAAATTAATTTCTCTTGTCTTGGATGCGCGCGCGTTAATTGGAATCACTTCACTACGTTTGGAATGACGTGGTTGATGTGCCGTTTAATTAAATTTCAAATGACGCGAGTCAACAGATCACGACACTTTTGTATAAAAAAAGAGCGTGTGAATTAAACAAGTCACATATTATTAGCACTGATGAAGATCCGGGCTTACGGATCGAAAGCTTTGCAGTAATAAATTTACGTGGTGTTTCCACAAACAAAACCTATTATGTATGTTACACCAAACACGAGATTGCGTGGGAAAACTCTAAAGTAATTACCACAAACAATCGCTATGGTCAAATACTTTGCCTACACGGGTAAAAATTGATCAGGTTGTTCGGCGTTGTTCAAACAGGAGTGAACAATGTTGTGCTGCACCCCGTGAACAATATTGTTAACAAGTTGTTCAACCATCAGTACTGTTGCAAGTTGTTAACATGATTGTCAACAAGTTGCAACAATGTTGATGGTTCAACAACTTGTTAACAATATTGTTCACGGGGTGCAGCACAACATTGTTCGCTCCTGTTTTGAACAACTTGCATCAACATGATGATTTTTACGCGTGTAGAAGCGTGGCATATAAATATGAGTAATCATGCTTTGAATAGGGAAGACGGTGCCTATTTGCCAGAGGAATATGTGCATCTCATTGGCAGGTGACGTCATCCCTTGGGTATTTAAGAAGCCACGATTGCAATTTTAGATCACCCCTGATGAAGACACTAGACTGGAGTGTCGAAACGTTGGGTCTTGATTACAATTCGACTGGGCTTTGTAATCATTTATTTAAACCAGAGTAGCAAGCGAAACATGATTAATAAGTATACGTCATAGAGCAGCAGATCAGGCCCGTTACTAGGATTCTGAGACAACTGAGTCGAGCACCGAAGGTACGAGCCATCTAGAGGGGTCTGGGGGCATCCCCCCAGAAAATTTTGGATTTCCTGAAAATTTTGGATCTCAAATTAGCTATTTCCAGCATTCTGAGGAGTGTTCCAACAAGAAATTAATCTTATAAACGGCAATTTTACAGTCTCCGAAATGTAATCCAGTCTCAATAAGGCAACATGATGTGATGATGCGGTAATGAAAATGTGCGTGGTATAGTATTATCATTCACCACACTTCAAATTCTACAGTACTGTATTACATGTATTGGGGTACTTGACATCGACACATTTGTCTTCAGTCTTCTCAGTGTCACTGAAGAGCAAGATAGGGTGGTCTCTTTGGAGTATCTTTGCTTGGAAAAACTAAACTAGAATTTCGTCCTAAAATGCCATTTCATGCCTTTTTGCACGAGCAAATTATTCCAGCTGTGGTTTAGGTTTCTGGCGATGTTTAAATTTCAGACCCCAAATTCCTACCGAGTCAACTGACTCGGTTGACTCCACTAGTGACGGGCCTGCAGATGATGGTCAAATTCAGAAATGTTAACAACTTAACATCATTTTCTCACTTTGATATATAATTGCTGGTTGACCACCTTCTACATGTAGTTTTAGGGACCTTGCACTGGGGCAAACTTGCCGACTGGAGGGGCCAGTAAGAGGGATGGGGGGGACGGTTAAAAGAGGCCCTGAAATGATCTGATCACTTGGCGAGGTTACGTCTGCAACAAACCCTATAACTCGCCTGCTCTATCCAAGGTTTATTGATTTTGGTTTTGGACTCTGTTTTTGTTTGAAATGTTACCAAATTGTTACCAAATGGCAAACCTGACATCACATACGGTAGGTCAAAATATATCTTCATCCGAGTTTGCCAAAGTTTGCTAAAAATTATAATTGACTTTTCATAGGAAAGTCAGCAAAACTTGATTTGAAATTACCATTCTTTCCGGAATTTATGTAAATTAGGAGGTGATAACGTAGGTGACATATCACATGATTTTTTTAGGTGCTATAATCTTTGTGTTTCAGGTTGAGATTTAATAATAACTTTGTACTCGTTGGTGTAAAAACTATCTTAAAAACGTACAAGTTTGTGACAAGTGATTTGTGACTTTGTGAAACTGTTGAAATTTTTGACATCAATAACCTTCAATCCTGGTCCACGTCAAGCGGTCTCGTGTTTAACGAAGGAAAATGCAAAAGTATTAGCATTACCAGACGTAGTCAACCAATCCATCATCTATATAGCATCAAAGGCAAAGAACTTGCACTTATACCAGCAGAGAACGATCTGGGAATTTGGATTGCGAGCGATCTAACCTGGTCTAAACACATTTTAGACCGGTGTACCCGTGCCAACAAACTCCTTGGATTTATAAAGCGATGTTCTGGGGAAATAAGCGACGCGAGGACCCGCCGGACTCTGTATCTGTCTTTGGTTCGGTCGGTTTTTGGTTACTCGAGCCAGGTTTGGTCGCCTCAAACCGTGACCCTCATCCAACGTATGGAACGGGTCCAAAGAAGAGCAACGAAGTACATTTTAAACCTTCCGTACTTGTGCAGTGAGACTTATCGGGAACGACTTGCCAGTTTGGGTCTCTTACCGCTATCTTACTGGCACGAATATTTGGATCTCGTGTTCTTTTTTAAAGCGGCGAACGGCTTGGTCGACGTGTCCCATGACGTCCTCCCCGAAGTCATGTCCCAAACCAGAACGACCAGATCCTCCAGTGGCAACCAAATCTCCTTCCGTCCGGCCAAATGCAAAACCTCTACCTACCAACGCTCCTTCTTTATTCGTGCATCCAGAACTTGGAACTCTTTACCAACTACACTAAGATCTCCTGACATTAATATTAGGCAATTCAAAACCGATTTACAAACTTACTACCTGACAGCCCTGAGAGAATGCTTCGACGAAGAAGATCCGAGGACATGGAAGACTATTTGTCTGAAGTTAAACACTAGTCGTTACTTACGTTCTGAACTAACTTGTTGTTTTTAGTCTCCTGTCCATGTACTGTATGTTATATGTTCTGTACTGTATGTGTATTTTTGTATAGGGCCCACAGTAATTGGTTTACACTGTTGTGGTGTCCCTGCCATTTTTGTCCATGTTTATTGTCTAGATGTCTATTTGCTGTTCTGTTAAGTGTTTTTGGCAAAGTTTAATAAATAAATAAATAAATAAATAAACTGTGGACTTCTACAACGTGTTCCCACATTTAATGGGCTTTTCCCGCCAGCGTTTACAGCGCCCCGATGACGACGTTGTTATTGTCACCCTCGCCCGGGACGGGCATCGGCCTAGCAGCCTGGGATGAGGGGATGAACTTCTTAATTATGAGCTTTGTTCTAAGAACATTTTAATACCTTATTTTGGCTTTTGTATCACATCGTGTTCTATTTTTCTTATAAATCCATACATAAAAAAGACATGAGGAATTAGCTATGCTTCTTCTTAATACAGTAGCAAAATTTCTTCCCAAAACTCTTGGGCTGGCTGATCCCTGATATCATGCTCAGCCTAATCCAATACTATTCGAACCAGTAGTAGCTACAAAATCAACCCTAGGAATGAAAACAGACCTCCAGTAAAACACCCCTCCCCCCTCGCATTATTGATGGACGGGGAGATGGGCTTCACGTGACCAATTGTTGCAAAGGCCTATTACTTCACATACCATTTCTGTTCCTTTCAAACTAAGTTATCAATTACTACAATTACTATTATTCAATTATATATCTCCTTGTTTTAAATTAGCTTTATAATCTATGGTAATTATTGACCTAAAACCTATACTATACTATTAAACCTATACTACAGTAGTTTATACTTTCCATGGCCCATCCTAAACATTGGTATTTTAATTAGCAGATTTCAACAATCATAGAAAATCTGAAGCTTCGGCGGTCTGAAACGTTCAGATATACTGCCGAAAGTAGCTTATTAGGTGTGGTCATTTTCTAACATTTCGGCCAGATTGAGCTTTTGGCACACGCCCCATGCATGTTGTTCCCTGGGCTTATCTTTCCCCAATAGTAGTATAATAATAGCAAGAGTTATAGATATTACGGCGTTTTAAGGTCCTCAAAAACTCAAATTGTTTGAGTTCAAATTTCTAGCATGGAAATAAAGTAAGGAAACAGGTATGTACCGCATGCAATTTCTTTTTATGTTTCAGATCGGCGTTCTCAACCAAACTTGCACAGGCGGTTTTGGGTTCAGAAAAACATGCCCAGATGGTTGGCTTAAACGTTTATCATCATGCTATTACTTCGCAAAATCAAGTGTCACCTGGGACCATGCCAGATCCATTTGTCAATCTCATGGTGGTGATTTATTTGTTCCTGATGATAGCACTGAACAATTGGAGATATGGAACCTCTCTCGAGCTTTGTATTTACCATGGATTGGTGTAAAATTGCCCTATGCTAACGCCAATGCTTTTTATACAGTTCATGATGTGCCAGTATCCTACTCTAATTTTCAATATCCTGAGCCAAACAACCTTCATTCAGAACTTTGTGTCCTACTTTACGAACACATTAATGCATGGAATAATATTCCATGTGACCATGATCGCGACTACATATGTGAGCGAGATCAAATCGCATAACTTAACTAGAGAGTTTCAGCAACACGGACATCATGCAATCCAATTCAATTCAATTCAATTTATTAAATTGCCACAAAAAAGGAATTATTTACAAAACAAACATGATGAAAGATGCATCTGACGAGGAAGCCCAAGTAGAAACCATAAGGCTTATTGAGTTATGGGCCTCCACATTTATAAAAGTATTACAATAGTTTATTCACAGCTGTGCTATAGTAGTCAGATAGACTTGACTTAACTAAATTTGGCATATCTGGGTTTTAGGGTATTAAAACACAAGTATTAAAAACATGTTAAAGTCGAGAAAATAAGAAGTTTCTTAATTTGAATTGGAATTGTTGAAGAGTTTGTGCATTACGAATATCATTACTCAATGTATTAAAAAAACTTGAACCTTGATAGGACACAGAGAATTGACGTAACTTAGTTCTACACAATGGTACATATAACAATTCAGCTCTCCGCAAGCCATAGCCATGCACTTGTTTTACTCGTAACACAAAGTTGTCAAAGTTTCTAGGAAGCCTATTATTTATGTATAAAAACATGAATTTCCCCAGATTGTAAAAATAAATATCTTTGAACTTAAATATTTGATTATCTTTAAATAATGAATCAGTGTGGGCATCAAAATTAAGCCGTTAAAAATGCTAACAGCGTTCTTGCCAGACTTTTGCAAAGAGCTTCGTCTTCGTTTATTGTATCTGCGAAGCAGATATATTGCTGTCGCAAACGTACCGTACCGTGTGTTAACACATAGCCATTCAGCGACGAGCTTATATAATTGAGCCAATTCATGATAATTTAAGCCAATCAACGATTAGTTTACATCGATTGTTTACATCGTGCCCGCATCTAACCTGCGAACGGGCATCGTTTGGCCTCGTGATTCGTGAATATTCTTTGCCATTTTCACCACAGAGATTTTCACATTTTGGCTTCGAAAACATCTTGATTTGGCTGTCTTGTTTTCGCCATTCTATACTTGCGATATTATTCTGGAGTTATCTACCAACATGAGAACTTAATATCCTCATCTGGTAAGTAGTCAAATACCACATATTTTATTATCTACCGCTATACAGTATTACTAAAAACATTCATTGTGTCAAAACATAGCGTATATTAAATTTATCAAGAAATTCGTCCTCGGCAGCAAGGCAATATTGCCAATGAACAATATCACAGGAAACTAATGTTCTCAGATATTGAATTAAATCCTGGTCCTGTATTTATGTAACTCTGTTCAAAACAACAGTCCAACTAAGCTGTTCTCTATTGTATCATTTATGTATGTTTTAATAAGATGTTATCAGTTAAAATACTTATACATTTTGGTTTTACACATTTATTAAAAATTAAACAAAATTTTTACAAACATTTTCAAATGCTAATACAGTAAAAGAATCCCCACCCTCTCTCCTCATTACATTGTCATTTTGCTTTCTAACATAAATGTTTTTGTTTAGAAATAATACCAGAATGATGAATAAAAGCTGGATATTGGCTAGATAATTTTGTCAGAACAACCCACTTGCATTAGTATGAAAAATAACTTAACAGCTACAATAATCATATTATATGGATGGATCAGATCAATGGCACACAATCTACAAAACTAAACTTGTGATACCTTTACTCAAACCGATATTCTCTCACGACACAAATTGTTTTCGTGTGGGTATCATATGTTGTGTTAAAACATTCAGTGGTCTTCAGTATATGATTGACTCTTTGCTACAGTAATGCATGTTCCTCGAATAGTTTGTGTATGTTACTCAACAGTTGACATTGGCTAGGGGTGCACCGGAACCAATTTTTAAAGTTCAGGCCGAAACCGGATCTGGCTGGAACTGGAAAAAAGTTCGGGCTGGAACCGGAACTGATTCATTAAGTGATATATGGTCATATGTTACTTTGTCTGCTGCCAGACAGACACTTTCAGTCATTAAGGAGAGAGCAAGTTAATAGTGTACATTTATCTTGTGTAGTCCAAATTTCTTCCTATGCTATTCAATAAATAAACTTGATATTCTATCTCTCTGAAAAGGACAAAGTTCTGGTTCTGGCCATGGGTTTTTTATTAGTTCTGACTGGAACTATGAAAAATCAGGGTTCCGGCCGCAACAGCGTTCCAGTGCACCCCTAACATTGGCAGTGTAAACAACAAGTGACAGAACTTTTGCTTCATATGATTACAATAAAGTTTTGAAACTTCATGGTTTGACAAGTGACAGTTTACTAAATAGCCGGCTGTTGGCTGTGGTGGGGGAGGGCAGTTGTCATTGCTGCCCTCCGCTAAAGTCTTATTTGCTATTACATTTATTATAATAATAAGTGATGAAATATTTCAATTGTCCATGCATGTCATCTTCATTATTCAGTTCCTTTCAAGGAAATACAAAATGTGAATCAAGTTTCTTCGCAGATACATGTATGCTTTGCGTACCTATTTTTAATTAGCAACAAAAACAAAGGAATTTTCGAAAAAAAGTGAATTGTTGTATGTCCCTCGCATTCCCCCGATTTTGCTATTGATTTAATTTCTCAACAGAGGGCGACCTGGAGCAAGTATACTGACGTTTGTGCCTGAAACCATAAACGTAAACCTGCATAGATTGCTGTTACAGAGGTCCAACTCAGCCAAAATGTTTAAAGTTTAAAACTCTATTAGAAAACGCTGTGTAGGCGAGAATTACACAGATAAACATAGTTCTATAACGTTTTGTATGTACTTGATATATAGTATAAGTATGTTAACGTATGTCATATGTAGATTTGCATGTTATTTTGTAATTTATGAGTATTTTAAAGTTGAATAACCTATAATAATTTATAGTTGAACCTGATACTCAAGGTTTTCACATTTTTGGCGATTTTAAAGTACGTCGCCCCCCCCTGCCCCCATGATCAATGTTGGAAAAAGTGGGTTGAATTTTCTTTTTTCAGTCATTCACACAACATTGAATTGGGGGTGAGGGGGGCATTTATGCGCTTGTCTCAATAATTTTTGCTCCTGATTGTAGGGACCGCCTGCCATGCAGGCTACGAAAACCCCGACTCAGACTGGTCACGTGGCACCCACATTTTATGTATAATTTATGCGACTTAGGGAGGGTAGGTCAACACAGCAAAATCATATAAACGCAAAGTATGTGCTCAAACTTCTTTGAGGCTCAAAGACTCTGAACTATCATTTGCTTTACTTGTTTAGATTTGATAATTTCACTTTCAGTCTTCACAGCCTTCTTTCTCTATATCCTTCTGTGACTATGATTTGCGACAAGCAATATATTTAGAACCCCAAAAGGTGTAGCAATTTAGTAATCCCAAATTGACATACAGCTAAGTAAACACGGGGAAGTGTAGCACTTGGCAGCTATTGGTTTTACCCGGCATATTTAGTTCAGCGGCGATAAAACCAAATCAAATACAGTACAATCATACTATTCAGACTATTTAGATAATTATATAAAAAAATTCCCATTTGGCTAAAGGTTGTTTATAACTTTCACATGCCTGCAGTTACGTTATGAAATTCCACATGCCTGTAGTGTAGTTACATTTGTTCAATAGACCTTTCCCCTTTTAAGTGAAATTTTGATCTAGACAAGTCTGAACAAAAATTTCATCACAGCTTGAAAGAGCATCACAAAATTAGTAATATTCCGAAGTTTCGTTACGAAATGTTGTAAAATGCGGATAATATAGCCTTGCAAAGTTTGCCGTTTTTCAGTCATTTGGTATTACAAACGGGAAATTGATCATCAGATGATCAAACTGATTATCAATTTCCCGTTTGTAATGCAAAATGACTGAAAAACGGCAAACTTCGCAATGCTATATTATCCGCATTTTACAACATTTCGGAACGAAACTTTGGAATATTACTAATTTTGTGATGCTCTTTCAAGCTGTGATGATATTTTTGTCCAGACTTGTCTAGATCAAAATTTCATTTAAAAGGGGGAAAGGTCTATTAGTAAACGGTTGTAAAGCATTTAACGATGTACTGTTTTTGACCATATACAAAATTCTCAGATAATTCTACAAAGTATACAATGCCTTTCATAGACATAGTTAGTTCATACCTTTGCCGGTAAAAAAATCTCAAGTTTTGAACTAGGTAAAACAAGCGTTATCCATTTGTCAACTGTGTCCGTCAAACCACAGGGGGGCCCAATCTCGCAAGGGTCAGTATAGACTTTATATAGTAATGTATATTATAGTAAAAATATGTCATAAAATATAAATTTTAACATGAAATTGACTTACCTATTTGATAGTGTGTGTTCTCCTTTTATTCCTCTTTTGTTGGACTAATATTTTCCGAGACTTTGCACTCGATGGTACTAGCAATACATAAAGTCATAATACATGATAAAGGCAAACTACTTACAACCGTCGATCCGTCTGCACGGCGGCACTTCGAATCGAAAATCCGTTTCGGGGGGTAGCGGAAGTGACTACCCTGAGTATCAGGTTGGTCTAAAACAGGCTTGCAAATTTTAATGTTTTCATGGGATGACAGCCTCTTTCTAGCGCACTGGCTAGGAACATGGCGGGCGGTTACGCTGATATCAAAGATGCCAACAAGGAGTCGGACCTGTTAGTCCAGCAAGAATTGTGAAATAATGTATGGTACGTAATTAATCCTTATAGGAACATAATATCATAATTCATAGAATTTTTAGACTTTGGCATTTCGTTTTAACCTCACGGAAAAGCAACGCACAGTAAGCTAGCTTACGTCAAAGACTCAATTCCTCGTAGCTCAACTCAATTCCTCACCAGCTCAATTCCTCGTAGAGGAACATTATGGTTTAAACTGATGTAGGCTATATTTACATACTATTATTATAAAAATTATGTATAGGCTACTGTAGTCTCTAAGTATAGCATATATATTAACTTTTAGCTCTTGAAGCATAATGGATAATAAAAGAGTAATTTGAAATAAGTTCTTAAGTTTAACTTTATGATGTCCATGGCATCTCTTCTATCTGATAGGGATTGCAATCCTGCATGTGACATTTAAAGCGCCTGTATAATTCACGTCAGGGCAAAGCATTTGCAGGGCAGAGCAAGTGCTCGTTTCTGTTTCCTTTCAAATTGGTTCCACAAATAGGATGGGAGTGTACTGTTAAACGCGTGAAAAGCGTACGTATTCCAGGGCCGATCGGATCATAGAAGGATCGGATACACACACAGTAAAACTGTAACAAGGCCAGCAAGGTGTTGACCTGGATTCTTCAACCTTTGCGTGAATGATGCGGCCTACATGACCATTCCATGAGTAAATTCATTCACGCGGCAGGAATTTCCCCGCCTTTGTAATGACTTTGTTTATTCATTATATTTATAAACTTTATTTTGTCGCTTTCTATCGATTTTTATTGTTGTTTGAATGAATTGTATACTTTCTGCGGAAGATTGTACGCGGTATGTTAACGTTGTTTTATTGAAATTTTCATAGCGTGAACGACTTTTTAAAGAATTTTGAAAGTTATGTCTCTTCACTAAAGGTTTAGCTATTTTTCCGCATTGAAGAAATTACACGTGAAGGAAACAGAAGATTATATCACAGGAAGGCACACCTTCCCACCGAGGTTCGCCTTGCTGCCTTACTGCACTACAATACGACCCCTGCTGGAATATGCTGCACCCTGGGTGGTCTACTTTTCTACTTAGTGAACGATCTTGAGCGTATTCAAAGGGACGCCTACGTTACTGGTTCACGGGCCCCAGTCGACACTCAGAAGCACATTATTGGTTTACCAGTCGACACCCTCCCTTCGCTCTGCGAAAGAAGAAATAAACTAATACTAACACGCACTTTGAGAAATGGAGACACAACAACTAGCGACACAAACCACTCGTATCATGATCTTCTTCCTGTTGCATATAATTCATAATTCATTCATATTCATGTTATGGTGTGTAACGAATTTAGATCACTTATGTAAAATTTCGCTGAAAAGTCTTTTAAGGGATGTGAAATAAAAATACAAACAACAATATTGGGAAATAAATTCCCCTTAAAAAAAAAGATTATTATACAATGCTAATGTAGGTAAGCTATACAAATTACAAATCCTGCTACAAGATAAAACTGCAGATACGTTACAGTAGGCCTATCTGGTTTACAAACTAACATCTATAACACATGGAATGCCTAAAACTGTTTTCCAAACGCGTGGTGGTGCTTAAAATGGAATTTGAATTAACTTTGGTTGGTAAAAAATAATCTTTTCGCAAAAAAGCACTGACATTTTAGTGCATTTTTCGAGCCACGATTTTACTCATGCACGACATACGACCTTTAACCACCGACACACGACATACACATTTGTCTTTGTCATCATGTCATGTTTACTCATCATGCCAGATATTCAAATAATTGAACGACTATGGACGGTAAACTAACGTCTATTCGGGCTGGAGAGAAGGGCTTACCGCTTACTGCGCTTTAATTAAGAGGGCAGACAAGGCAGCCAGACGGTAACCATGGTGAAAATATGTTCGAAGCATGTATAAGCAACCAGCTGTTCTGTTATAGGCGTTATACTGTCTGTCACACTTTACACCTGATACTGTACAATTTAGACCAATTCTTGTCAAACCATTATGATGTATTGTTTGCTATTGGACGTTTTAGTATTTTATAACTCGAGTACAGCTACCTATGATTACATATAAATTTTCCAAACACTATTAATTAATAACGAACTCATGCTGGTCACAATTGCTATTCCAATTTAAACATTACCTGCTGATTTAATTTGTTTTACCTAAAATGTTTCTCAATAGCTTTTGTATTATTGGTTTAATGGTTTTACCAAGTAACGTCCATATGTCCACTATTCATGATTTTATGGGTTAAAACCTTAAAATATTTAACCCTAGTCCTGATCCCTAATACATGCATCATTGATTGAATCTATAGTCGTTTTATTCTAAAACGTAACCTGTTGAACCTTTTTTGTCTAACCATACAGAATCGAGAAAAATTCCTCTTCATAATGGTTTAACTAATTTAACTAGAGTTTTGAATACAAGCCAAAGTCTGTCATATTTAAATATTTCATCAATACAATTGGATTATTCATTCATTTGGTCTGACGATGTTTCTGTATTATAGGATCAAAATATAATTTCATGATGTTTTCGATGTTTAAAATATCCATTTTATGAGGAGCATGATCAAAACTATTGTTTACAAGCTAGACATATCATCATGCTAGGAAAGGAAAATAATTATTATATCCATAATAACCCATATATGACCTTTTCACCACATATGGTCATGATTCGTGTCTGAAAGAATAATATGCGTAAATTTAAAATTCTCAAATTTCCTCTGCTATTTCCTGCTGAATTATTCGAGAAAAGACTCTCCTTGCTTTCTTTCTGAAATGTTTTATTTTTTCCGACAGAAAACTTTAGTAAAACACATTTTTATACGTTTTGGTGATTAGACAAAAGTTTTAAAATGCTGCTTCCAAAGTCCAAACATATTTGTACAAATGGGTTAATTGTGTATCGGGTTTAAATGCGTCATTATGGAATGCCATTTCTGGGCGTGGATAAATTGCATGAGCTTTTTAAAACAGACACTGTATCTGTATCCCGCAATCAGCGTTCGAGTTCTCACATACGAAAGTGGTTAAACGTTTTAGCTGTAATAAAGATGGCAGAAAGACCAAGAGGCTTTGGAATGACTGCTGAATTGCAGAAGAAGGTCAGAAGATACTTTTCAATATCAATAGTGATGGACTAGATAAATACAATACGACATACGATACTTTATAATAGCTATAGTAGGTCGTTTCTGTCTCTTCCGAAAATATATTCCTAATGTCCAGTACCTGTCATATTAAGAGTGGAAGAAAATTAAATAAAAACGTCATGATCAATTGAAGAATATTTCGTCTCATTGTGCTCTGTATGTAACTGGAATTCGTTGGGTATGCGTGTAAGGAATTCGATAACCTTTCGACATTCGTGCAGCTCTGAATAAAATTGCATACTTTCATGCATGAAAGGCGGTTTTCTTTTCTATATACTATTTATTATCCAACGATGAAGACTACATTTTGAACACTGTTACTGTATTGATATATGAATATTCATATACTTTTTCTAATTTTAATAAATTATTTAAAGATCATTAAATTAAATGGTGCGGTTTCATTCCGGCTATCCGTAGGAGGTCTGAGTCTTGAAAAAGCCGTGTTTCTACTGATTGTTTATCGGTCGTCGTCGTTATATAAATTAGAGAGGTTCAGATTTGATAACGGCTGCCTCTCACAGGCTTAATACGCATTTGATTGGTTAATCGGGAAGAATAAATGCATCTGGTTGGTCGGTATAGTCAAAATTTGGGCCTTTTTAAATCTGAACCCATCTAGATAACGGCTTTGCATTTATTATAAGCACCTCTTAATTAAAACCTGTCTAAAAAATCCTTTTAGTCATGTACGATTCTTATTCCTGTGTATGTAATTGAATAAAAACATACAAAGACATTCTGCAATAAAACACCAGAATCGTATACAAGTAATCGACTATAATCGTATCGTGTAGACAGTCTTTATTATTTCCAGACCATGTTCATATTTAATATATCCAATATTGGCAATATATTTTTTAGAAAGCCGGAAAATACGATCCAGAACTTGAAAAACAAGCTATAGAGTTTATCACAAGTACAACAGGACAACCTCTTCCTGGTGGCTTTCATGAATCTTTGAAGGATGGTATTATTTTGTGCAAGTAAGTGTTGATATCTATTTGCTATATATGCCCTCAAAGATGCTGCAGAACAACCCAGCACTAGTGCACTACCAGACCATCATCTAAATATCTAGCCTGTAATACAGGATGTGCACAGGCTACTAAATATCCCGAGTATAAAGTATCTTAGTATTAAGGATAAAGGACATAGCACCAGTCAAGACCCACTGTGAAAAAATGAGCCCCCATGGGGCTAACTAGAGGAAATACGGAACCTTTCCTTTTAGAACCAAATAGAGAGAGACCATCATGACTACTTCAAAAATGTCGACGATTTAAAGTTCTTTTATGTGTTATTTTTGCCAAACTGCTTTTACTCTAGAGTTAAATTTTAGAGGTCCATAAAGTTATAATCTAAGTCCATTCAACTTACTTTCTTTTCTACATTATTTAGTCTCGCTAATGCATTAAAGCCTGGTTCTATCAAAAAAATCAATGAATCAAAAATGGCTTTCAAAATGGTATGTGAGTGCTGGAATTCACAGATCCCTCACATCATGTATGATGGGCCCTGCTGTTTATTTCAATCTTCCCTCAATGGTCTCATGTGTGCCCTCCATGTATCATTATAAATTAATTACAATGTTTTTATTCCATCTAGATGGAGAATATTAGCAATTTCCTTACTGTTTGCCAATCACTTGGAGTTAACAAGATTGATATATTCCAAACAGTTGACTTATATGAAGCTCAGAATATACCTTTGGTAATTTATTTCTAGATTTTACATTTCCTAAACTTCAATACTTTCAATGATGGACATAAAAGGGGGGAGGAGACCAACCTCTCCTCTAGTGTAACCAGGTTATTTCAACCAAAATAGCTGATATCCTTTTAATTAGAAAAATGATCATTACAAAAGGTTTCAAGACTGGAATGTGCTAGCAACAGGAGTGTCAGGAAATGTTGATATCCTATACAACAGCAGAGACCGCGGAAGTATTTCGAAAGTGGAGGGGCGTTGGCCAAAAGGGGCACTTTTGTATATGACCAAAATCAAACGATTTTATTTCGTTCACGAGCCAAACGAACATTTTTGAAAATATGGGGTCTCTATAACGTCGGAAATGGCCTTCATTCAAGAAATACTTTTTTCGTTCTTTAAATGGGGCACTTAGCCCAGAAAAAAGAGCACTTTTTCACTTTTAAAAAAAGTGGGGGGGGGGGGCATTTGCCCCATCCCCCC